CCGCAACTCACTTTTTTTATATAAAATCAATATAAAAAAGTGAATCCCGATACCGCAACTCACTTTTTTTATATAAAATCAATATAAAAAAGTGAATCCCGATATCGCAACTCACTTTTTTTATATTTAATTATTACTAAAATTCATAAAATCTATAAATAACTTAGTCAGGACCAGGTCCTGGGACCAGGTCCAGGACTGGTCCTAACAGGACCTGGTCCGCAGGTCCGTTCAATAGGACTTATAGGTCCTAGGACCAGGACCGGACCAGGACCGACCTAACCATCCCTACCAACGGTCTTATTATATGTAATACAGGACTGAAAGACCGCGATCCTACACTAAGACGGACTGGTCTGTCTTTTTATGGTATAGAACTGTAGGACCGCAGTCTTCTAGGACTAATGACCATCTTTAGCTGTGTGTCAGACAGAATATTGGAAATTACTAAGTATTATGATGCGCAAAACATATATATCCACCAGGACCCCGGATATCACATATATAACTCATATTTGGGTTTTAGCAAATTCAATCAAAATTAGGTTAAACTCATAATTTTAGATAGAGCAAATTGATTGAAAATTAATTAATAGTCATAATTATGAGTTTTAGCAAATTGTGTTAATTTTACAAAGTTATATTTTATATTTGAGCAAATTGGTACTTTTTTTTGAATTTAACTTATCCTTTTTTTAACTTTTATTGATAATGTTTTTAAAAAGATTTTTACTTCAAATCACCAGAGGTGATCATCACTGTTGGCCAAAATTATAAATTTTTACCGGCACTATATTTTTTAATGCTGGTCAATCATCATAATTTCAGTCACCAGTGATCATTACCTCTGGTGATAGTTAGAAAAATTCTTTTAAAAATATTAATTTTAGGGTTCAGGTTATATTTTGGCCAAAATTAAATATAATTCTGGCTAAAATTAAGCATAATGCAGGCTAAAAACCGTCTGATTAGTTTCACAACATTTTATTTTTTAATAATTATTTATATTTAATTTATTATCTTTATTAAGAGTGAATTTATTTACCGCATCCTGCATTACATATAATGCATCCTTCCTTTTTTATAAATTGTTTATGTCGATCTTTAGTTTATACATCACACCCCCTTAAAATGGCAAATGATAAACATAAAAATATATATAAATTTGTAACGCAAGATGTAATAAATACATTATTTCTTTTATTAATTATTATTTTATCTATAATTTACACATTTTTAATTATAAATTATAAAAATTAATAGTTTAATTTATATTATTAATTATCTATTTATTATTGATAATAAAAAAAAAAAAATATTAAAAACTCTTTCTGCTACCATTCATGACCATTTTTTTACAAACATAAATTTTTTATCTTTTTTATTTTCACTTATATTTCTTTACTTAAATACACTTATACTTCAAGTTTATCTTGACAGAAATATTCTTTACGAATTTTAGTATAGTTATTTTATTATTTTTTCTTTTTTTTTCCCTTTTATTTACGTATTTTTACCTTGTACTTTGGGACTCTGTTCATATCGGTGTATCACCTAGCAAAACAAGACAAAGATGACAACTTAAATATGTGAAAACTTCAAGAATATTAAGCAAACTCACCCACACGAACGGAAGCGATATGAAAAGATATACTCCTAATGAACTTTTCTTAGACGAAAAGTTTATACAATACACAAAATTGAATATGATGCGTAACATCTAAAGTCATCAACAGTCCAAAATTTCAAAATAATGATTATTACGTGACACTGGTCGAAATAGGACAATTCGACCTAAATTTGACCAGGTCGAATATAGGTCGAATGACGATCTAACCTGTGTCAAATTAAGGTCGAATTTTCGGGCGCATTTAGGGTGCCAATCGTCTCAAATTCAGAAAGGATATTCGGCTAAAATTAGACTCAAATTCGGAAAGGATATTTGGCTAAAATTAGACCTATAT